TACTGAGTTTCATTAGATTTCTCCCAAACCATGGCTTTTTATAGAGAGTGGGAAGCAAACATTCCTGTTGACATTAGTGGCATACATTTCTGACTGTGGTAGAAGGCAGGTTTGTCACCAAGCAGGTACTGAAATAACCTAAGAGAATAACATTTAAGTACTTTGGTTTTGGTGAGTTTCACAGACATTTAAAAAGTGTTGCTTATAGAACATAACTTTAACACAGTTGCTTGTATGTTATTCCATGTAAATTAAAGATAAAAGTTGGGAAGTAGAAGGCGGCTCTTAAATGTCAGAGCAGCAAAACTGTGGTTGGGATTAACATGGGCAGAAGAACATTCATGGGTTTTACTCATTGGGTGGAGTGAGGGTAGGATGCTGTGCCTGTGAAAGCAGAGGACCACGCGTTGTGGTCTGAAAGCCTCTTCGAGTCCAGTGTGAGTTTGTGTTCATGTGTCTGTGATGAAACAAGCTTCTAAAAACCGAGCTAAAACCAGGAGGGAAGAGAGTAAAGTTAATAAATGGAGTCTATTTTTTCTTTCAAAACAAACAGCCAAACAAAAAAAAACCACAAGAGTTCAAATATATATACTTTCAGGAACTAGATAATTATTTGTGGGTTTTGTTTGTTTGATTTTGTTCTTATAATTCCTTTTTGTTCCTGCTGGTTTTCTTTGTTTGATTTTTTTCTCCTTTCTTCTGCTTCGTGAAAGACTCTCTCCACCCACACAAGGACAGCTCATTGCTTTGTGCTTTCTGTTCTCCAGTGCGCATAAACAAAGTATTGGTAATAGGCAAATGTATGGCTTAATACAGCTTAATTGGATTAGAAATGATTTAGCTCTTGGTCTCTGATGTGTGTCCTCAGACAAAATACAGCAGCAGGTAAAATAGCTTATCCAAAGTGCCACCTTGAAGTATGCTTCTATCACACTTCTGTATGATGTGCGTCTGGATGGGATGGGTGGATGGTAGATGGATTTCACATGGATACGGCCCTTGAAAAATAGGTGTATGGCACTCAGAATAACCCGTTGTGTGCACAGTAAAAACATTCCTGAGGCTATCAGGTGGTGTGGTTTAACCACATCGTGTCAGTTAATGAACTCTGAGGAATAAATGCACGTGCCAGTCAATAAATACTAGTTATTTCTATGACCTGTCCGTGATGGGCAGCTGTAAATGGGAAATGCAGTATGTCACGATGGCGACACCGGGGCTCATAGTGGGATGTTGACTAGCTTCGTAAAGAGCTTGTTGCAAAGTTGGAATTTTTGGGGAGTGAAAGGAGGTTTGTTGTTGTTTGGGGTTTGGTTTTTTTAAAATTTTACAAGGCTTGTGAAAGATCCCGTGGGAAGTTTTGTGTCACCTGACATACTCTCTTGACTTTCTTACTGCAGGTCCTGTCTGGTTGTGGTGTCTACGATGGCACGGAAATCCATGAGGCCTCAGCGTAAGTTGCTTTATCAAACTGTAGGCTCCAAAAGAGTCTCCTTTACATTACAGCAATCCAGTAGATTTAGATTTGTGCTCTCTGGCCATAAAAATTGCACTGAAACATGTCTGATGAAGCTTCAGAGTTTTCTCACATCATAGTTGGGAGACCCAGGCCACGTTCTTGCAGTCCTTTGGTTGTCCAGCGGTGCAGCACAATGCGTGCGATGCCAGAGCAGTGAGTTTGAGAGAGGCTGTCTTGCCTTCAGAAACAGAAATTTGGAGTTTCAGGATCAATCTCAAGAGAGTTAAGTAAAGACTTCATTTTATAATTGCTTTGACTTTCTGTTCCTGAGGCTAAATCTAACACTAGAATTGTTAATACTCAAGTTGAATTATTAACTCTTAGTATTAATTGCTAAGAGATGTTTCACCTAAACCTCGGTTAGGTGTGTTAATCATGGGACTCTTCCATATCACCTCGGGACTTGCAGTGGGAAAGGAAGTTTATATTGTTCCTGGTTGCCAGCGTAAGAGCACTGACCACAGAAACTTGTCTCTAGTTTACCTGACCCTGCCTCCAAACTGACTTTCTGTGCTGCTTTGCACGTCGGTGTTGCATACAAGGAATTGCTGCTGTGTGCTCAGTATACTTTGGTAGGATGTGGTTATTTCCTCCTCTTTCAAAATAAGGTGGTGGAATATTTGTAGCAAGACTTAGGGACCAGAGAAAATCTCTCTCATAAGGTTTTCAGCAGGGTTTATCTCTGTTTTTGTAGCATACTGGTACACCTTAGTCGTGGGGGAGCCGAGGTTCAGATGTACGCTCCAGATGTTCCTCAGATGCATGTCATTGACCACAGTAAAGGGCAACCAGCTGAAGCTGAGTCAAGGTAAAGTCTGTTTATTGTATTTTCCATGACTGCCGAGTCTCAGTCCCTTAGGTGTTCTTTAGGTATGGCAGCCTGTCACTGCACTTGTAGCAGCTTGCTGGCTGCCTTTAGTAGCTCCGTGCTGGCTGGTGTTTTGATTGGAGAAAAAGTTTGAAGTGAGTTTTCTGGATTTGTATATACGTTTTTTAATGCCTGATTTTCCCTGTAGTACTACTGCAGAAACATTGGTAAGTTCAGTTATCGAATACGACTATTCTTCTCGCTTCCCCCCTTCCTCCCTCTCCTTTTCCTCTGCCAAAACGTTTTTATGCTTTTCTGTGCACAAACACTTAATTAATCTGATTGATTTATTTCTGGTTCTTCAAGGAACGTTTTAGTGGAATCTGCAAGGATTGCTCGTGGTAAAATTGCAAGCCTGGCTAAGCTTACTACAGCAGACCATGATGCTGTGATATTCCCTGGTGGATTTGGAGCTGCTAAAAACTTGTGAGTGCCAACTCAGCATTAGGCTCCTCAAATAACTATTCGTGATCAACTATTTATAATCAACTGTGATTCACACAATGAAATCAGGAAGCAATAAATGACCTTATGTACTACGTATGTAACAGCTACTTAATAAGGAAAACTCCTTTCAAAGTGTTGGTGTTCAGTTGTGCTCTTCATGATGGCTTCCAGTTGTAATTCTTATCGGCATTGTTACATTTTAAATTTTCCAGACAGTGTTGGTGAGAAGTCTGGAGTTCAGAGAATGCACAAGAAGTACTTTTTTCCCCACCCTTGTGGTGATTTTTTTTTTTTTTTTGACCTGCCTGAAGGAAGTGAAGGTAAAACTTCAGTAGTTTCAGGTATTCCTAGTGTTTCTTTATGTCTGCCAACCAAAAAGTCCCCTCTTGCATTAGTAACAATAAACCAACAACAATCTGTTTCAGAAAAAAGGAGTTGGGGGAGGGAAATAAGTGTTAGCCTTTTGTAATACTGATTGTTGTTATTGACCTGGCATTTTGTTGGCTGTGAGAAACCTGAATGCTATTTCCCTTAAGTATTTGTCATCTTTGAAACCGTTGTCATTCCACTTCGCAGTAATCCTAGAAAGCTGATTTGATAATTCTTATTTCTAGATGTTTATATCAATTAAGGAACTTTCTGACATACCAAAACCTTGGAAATGAGTTGTTTTGGCTACAGCACTGCTGGTCAACTACAGCACTTTTCAGCCACCTTCTGTGATGGCCCTTGAGAGCCAGTCTCAGGGCAGATAGGCACCTCTCTTCGTAGGTTTATACTGAGGTATGCATGAAGTTTCTTCTTGTGGCAGATCCACCTTCGCTGTTGATGGGAAAGATTGCAAGGTGAACGGAGAAGTTGAACGTGTCCTGAAAGACTTCCACAAAGCAGGCAAACCAATTGGGTACGTATGTTAGTTGGAGGAGCATTTGTTTGGTAGTGTGGGCATGGAGACAGAGTATGTTTTGTGGAAGTGTGCGGTTGTTATTGGTGGGGCTAGAAAAAGCGTAGAATCATACAGTGGTTTGGGTTGGACCATCTAGTTCCAACCCCCCTGCCATGGACAGGGACACCTTCCACTAGACCAGATTAACGTCTTCAGTTTTGTATCAGTTGTAGCTTATTTTTTTAAAACATGTTTGTCAGGATGGGTGTGTGCTGGTGTTTGTGAAAAAAGAGCTGAGAAAATGTTGGGTGGAAGTTGCCTCGTGATGCCGTTCTGATTTATAAGACTATATCCCTTTGAATCTTCTCAGTTATGACCAAGTTTTGAAAGACTGCCATCGTAGAACCGCTAAAAAGTTATTGCAGTCTTTGCTGCATTTCACCAGTGTTGGCAGCAAAGGTTCTCTCTGGTGCTGAAGTAACTGTGGGCCACGAAGAAGAGGAAGGTGGCAAGTGGCCTTATGCTGGGACTGCCGGAGCCATTAAAGAACTGGGAGGAAAGCACTGTGTGAAAGAAGTAACTATATCCTTTCCTGGTAATTTTCTTGTTGACAGAGAGTCCAGTAATGTGTTGTTACAGTCCTGAATACGAGCAGGATCTGTGCTTTTCCACTTAGGGGGTAGTGGGAATACACAGTGTATAGCAGCTAGTGTGCATCACAGCGTATGGTTAGGCAACGTCGTCTTCTGTACAGAGCTGTGTAGGTAGAGTTCTGTCGTCCTTACCCATGCACACGCAGTAATGCAGTAACTGCTGAGTGAATTTACACCTAAAACTGGCATGAGCTACATTTGGTCAGTTCTCTCTGAGATTTTTTGTTTTCCTGAAGGCTAATACTGTGATCAAACTGTACTCAGACATTTTTGTTACAGTCAGTCAGCTGCGTAGGTTTTCCTGTGTTTCTGAGTGCCAGCATTCCCACAGGTCACTCTTGCAGTCTTTGTATTCCTGGCAAGAACAGCTCTAGTATCTGGGATTATAGGTTGCAGCTGTCTTTGCAGCTGGACAGTACAGTATGTTCGGAGGTGGATTTTGTTCGGTAGTGGAGTTGGTAAGGCTTTGTCAAAGGTGGTTTATTTAGCAGCATCACAGACTGCGTTTGCCTTAACTCCATTGTACGAAGCTCACGTGGATACAAAAAACAAGGTGGTGACTACCCCAGCATTTATGTGTGAAACAGAATTACATAATATTTTTGATGGCATTGGGGCCATGGTGAAGAACGTGCTAAAACTAACTGGCAAATAATAATAATAATAAACCCCCCACTTCAGAAATGTTTAAATTTAGAGTGTAGTATCAAACATAATATGGACCAATGGAAGCATTTTCACCTGCTTGTCCTGTTCACACTCTAGTGAATGCTGATACGAAGCTGATCGATTCCTGGCTGCGGGGTTTTCCATACCCTTTCTGAGAGAGGGGCTTGTGGAGTACAAGCAGTCTGGCCTGAGACACAGAGTGTTTTCTTGAGCTTCTCAGCTGGAGAGAGCTGTGCAGATGTATTCTGAAACCAGTCCTCCCAGAAGTGTGCCGCTATCAAATCGTGTCTGGGGGGGGCAAAAAGAGACTAAAGGCCTTTTCAGAAGCTGAGGGCAGATGTGCTGTAGGGACATAGCAGGCGAAGTGGCAGCATATCGAGTGAACGAAGAGTTGAAGTAGAGAGGAATTACGGCATGTTCTGTGTGCTCAGGACCCTATCTGGGAACTAAAAGCCAGGATCAGCTGTCAAGGGAAGAGACATCTTCCACTTCTTAATTTTAGCTTGGTATTAATTAAAAAATTAATATTTCATTTTTCCATTTTAAAGAATCTTGTTTTCACAAAGGACAGCTTCTGAATATCGATCAGCAGCAGGATACATTGTAACTGTCACAACACTAGGACTTCAAAAAATGCATCCATTGGCCCATTATAGCCGAAGGAGAAAGTACCCGCTGATGTGACGCACAATTTTTAAGGATATCATCCGTTTTAGAGTACTTGCACGACTTGCTGTGGATGGAAGGAAGAATCTCATTATCCTCACTTTCCCTGCTTTAGGGAAAAAAGCTTTCTCCAAATAGATATTATTGAATGTCTGGAATAATGATGTATAAATAAATTAATTTCTGCCTTTATGTCATCCTTGTCCCTTTACTTTTGTTTGAGAACTGCCTCTGATAACTTACACTGATTAATACATTCCAGCAGTTTTTCTGCTTTTCGGTGCTCCTCATATCTTTGAGACATCTTTTCCTTACGGATTCCAGCAGAGTCTCCTTCCCCCCTTCCAAGTTATTTGTCACCTTTCTAGTCAGGAGGAAGCAACATTTCTTTGACACCCCTTGCCTTGTATTTAAGTCCTTTTTACACAACGGACGTGCTGAAGAGAACCAGTATTTTAAGGGGGAGTTCTGTGCTATGTAAATGGACTGTGCAAACCTTAGATTGGGTTGGAGTATGGTAAATGGCTGAAGACTTGCTAGGGATGTGGAATAACATTTGACTGGGGGGAACAAAGAGGAGGAATGAAGCTTGAATATTGAGTGGTGGGCATGCTCAGCTTGCGCCGTCGGTGTTCATGGAATAAGTGGGTTTGCTTCTGGAGCCTCTTAGTATGTGATTACTTTTTTGTTACTAAAAAAAAAAAAAAGACAGTTGGATTTAGAAGGTCTGAATTTATACTTCAAAGATGGCACCGTGTTCTTGGAGTATTTCATGGAGATCTCTGGTGGCCAGCCCCACCACACACAGAAACCAGTTGCCATGGTAGCAGGCATGGTTCCTAAAGTGGGTTTGGGACGTACTCTGAAACTCTTTACCTTGTGCATCGAATTCTTCATGAAATCTTCATTATCAGGTTGGTAAGAAATAGAATTTAAACCACTGCCACTATGTAATCGAGTACACTTTCCTCTGAAACCTTTGCTTGTACGTAAGTGAATGTTTTTTCTATCAATTTTATGCACGGTGGCCTAGCAGAGTGTGGGAGGGCATTGTTTGTATGAAATGTAATGACATTTTAAAATGTGTGTCTTTCCTACTTTGGCAGGAGTTTTAAAAGAAATTTGGTAACATAAGAAAGTGTCACAAAAGGGAGATGGGATTGAAATCCCTGGAGTAGAGGGAGAACAGCTGCTTCCTGTGTTAACATACCTTCCTCTGCTGTAAGACCATAACTCTTCCCATGAGGAACCGTGAGTTAAATCTTTCCAGTACTTCCCCTCGTCACAGCAGGGTTGTGTGTATGTATTTAGGGTTTCTCGTATTTGCAGTTCCTAGTAAGTGCAGCCATGGTGGCATAAGGCTTGCTTAGATTCTAAATCTTAAGATTCAGGTGTACTGCGGAAAAAGATGATTTTTGGAAAAAATCACTACTATGTGGTGGCCATCTGTTGCAAGTTGGTTGGTGGTCCCTCTTTTACAGTTCTCTGACATTCTTCCTTGAATCTGGACACCCAAATAATATAGACTGCTAATAATCCGCTCTGTACCGTTCCAAGCAGATGCAGTGTTATAGAATCACAGACTGGTTTGGGGTGGAAGGGACCTTAAAGCCCATCCAGTTCCAACCCCCCTGCCATGGGCAGGGACACCTTCCACTAGACCAGGTTGCTCAAAGCCTCATCCAGCCTGGCCTTGAACACTTCCAGGGATGGGGCATCCACAGCTTCTCTGGGCAACCTGTGCCAGTGCCTCACCACCCTCTCCGTGTTGGTCATGTTCATCCCTGACATGGTGACTTCCCGGTTGGATTATCACAGTAGCACGTCTTTGCAATCAAGTATGCAAATTGAAAAGCTCACCTAATCTGACGGGGCATTTTGTCTGCTAAATAAGAGCAGTATTCTAAAATGATGGTCTCTCTCGGTGGCTGAGGGCTCAGGCTGTGAGCTGTAACAAGAGCACGTAAGGAGCCAGCTCCTCCTCGCTGCCTGAAACGTTGATGACGGCAGTTAAAAAAAGCGATCTACCCGTACGGTGTTGTCAGTGCTGGAAGCTCGGGCATTTGGTGGGTACAGGACACACAGACACGCGCTGGGGAAATGAAAGACAAAACTTTAGTTTCAGAAATAATCACATTTTAGAGTACCTTTTTACCCTCCTTTTTTCCTGTCTTTCAGAGGTTCACCCCGGTTGGAGGCAGGTGCCCAACAAAGCCGATCTGTCACTCCCCTCCTCAGCTGAGCAGGGGAGAGTGAATGTAACAGAAGGCTCGTGGGTTGAGATAAGGACAGGGAGAGATCACTCAGCAATTAATGTCAAGGACAAAAGGGACCTGACTCAGGGAAAATTAATTTATTACCAGTCAGAGTAAAAGAGAACTAAAACTGAATCTTAAAAACACCTTCCCTCACCTCTCCCTTCTTTCCAGGCTCAGCTTTGCTCCCCATTTCTCTATCTCCTCCTGCCAAGCAGCACAGGGGGGCAGGGAATGGGGGCTGTGGTCAGTCCATCATACTTTGTCTGTTGCTCCTTCCTCTTCAGGGGGAGGATTCCTCACGCTTTGCCCCTGCTCCAGCAGAGGGGGTCCCTCCCACAGGAGACAG